TCCGCGGAGGAGAGATGAGAGTCTAGATTGCACCGTCCTTTTTGTTCAGCTTTTTGACGAGCGGAGCAGGGAAAGGGAGAATTCTAACAGCCTGGCGGAGAGCAATTATCTCCGGCAATCTCCCCTCTTCCACCCCCATGACTTGTGACAGGTCGTATATTTGATTACGCAAAGTAAATTGGGAAATCATATCTCCGCAATCCCATCTGGGATTATTTATTTCCCCGCGTCCGCAGCCGGTCAAAGTCGTGAGACGGTACTACGTTGAGTAGCTTTCCACAGAAAGAGGTGCCTTCGAGGTCAGCTCTGGAGAAACCACAGCCCAGCCGGCCACAGCGAAGCACTTCTACTGGGATGCTTAAACGTTTTCAAACGTCAGTCGCCACCCTGGGCGCTCACGGCAGGTTGATTTAACAAGGCCACTTAGGCTGAAGGTGGAGGGAGAGGGTTCCCGCCGATCCCCAGCCTCCTCTGGAGGACTCCAAAACTGGAAAGTTGGGTGGAATAGGGAGGAAATCGGGCTTCGGATTTTCCCCAGCCTCGGGCTCTCTGCAGCCTAGCTAATGGAATTAAAATAACCACAAAAATAGCACAACTTACTCCCAAGTACTGAATGTTCAGTATGGGCGGGTCACCGTGCTAGGGCATCTATACGAGTCCCCTCCTTTTAGGTGAACCCCATTTTGCAGTTGAGGAAAGTGAGGCACAGAGGAAGGTTAAGGGACCTTCTCACTATCCCTAGCCAGAGAGGGGGCAGATCCGCATTCTAACCCGCCTCTGTCAGACTCCGAGACCCCGGTGCTCGGCCTCTAAGCTGGGCTGTCCACGCAGAGTCCGGACGGAGGTGGGGGATGTGTAGGGGGAACGCTCAGGGCAGGACCAACTCCCACGATTAGCTCTGTGAGCGGAGTGGGAGGTGGCAGGGCCGGGCTGCAGAAGCCAGGACCCTCGAAAGGGATCCAAGTCTGTGTGGCTGTGCGAGAGGGAAGCCACATGAGCTGCTTGGCTCCGGGGCCAACTGGGTGGGATGGGATTCGCAAAAGGAACTTGATGGGTGAGCGGGAACCGATTTGAAACTCACTTTCCTCCTTTGTTTATTTTATTTTAAAATTTGTGGCAGGGTGTTTGAAGAAAAAAGGAAAACCACCCTCATCCAGGAAAAAACAACAACGAAGAGTTTCTCTCTCTCTCTCTCTCTCTCTCTCTCTCTCTCTCTCTCTGGACAGAGTCTCACTCCTGTCGCCTAACGCTACAGTGCAGTGGCGCGGATCTCGGCTCTCTTGTAGCCTCGACTTCTCAGACTCAAGCGATCCTCCCACCTCAGCCTCCTGAATAGCTGGGACTACAGGCGCATGCCGCCACGCCCGGCTAATTTTTTGTATTTTAAGTAGAGACGGGGCTTCGTCCTGTTGCCGAGGTTGGTCTCGAACTCCTGGACTCAAGCAATCCACCCGCCTTGGCCTCCCAAAGTGCTGGGCCTCCTTCTATTTTTGTTCAGGTTTCATTGCGTGACTCGCCCAAAGAGAGATTCGGTGGGTCCAAGCTGCGCCAGAAAGGGAAGGGATACAGGGCAAGAGAGATTTGGGGTAAAGGGAGAGGGAGGCAGAGGAGGAAGGGGGCCCCACGCTGGTCAGTTCCAAGAGGCAAACCCCGCCAGCCTAGCTCCCTGGGCTGAGTCAACAGCGGCCCAGTTGCTTTGTAATTTACAGGAGGGACTCCGAATTGTACTTCGTAATTTGGTGTCGGTTTACAAGGCAAAGGACTTCTGTTTCCTCACCTCACCAGGTCCTCAGTCACGGCCTGACCCCTTTTAAGAGAGGGACCTCGAGAGGGGAGCTGAATTCCTTGAGCCCTCGCCTTTCAATCAAGTTTTCAAGGCATGCTTTGGCCAGGCCTTCCCGGACTGCCTGTGCTGCCACTTCGGGAATCAACGTCTGTACCGAACTCCTAACCTGTGAAGACGTGCTATCCTCATAATTGCGGAGTCGGGCCAAGGCAGGCTACTCTTTCCCCTTTGCAGATGAGGCAACTGAGCCGCAGAAAAATAAGTGACCAAGATCACCTAGCTAGTGGAACAAACAGCTCCAGCCCAGGCTCTCTGGCTCCTATTCCCTCTGAATATTTAATTTACTAAACAGTTCGAGCAGCAGTAGATTCCTTTCACAATCTGGTAAAAACTATGACAATTACTCCTCCCCTTCCCCCAAATGTACTTATTTTCCCATTCAATATCGGAGCTTCTTGGACTTCTTCAAGTTCGTCCCAGGATGAAGACCCTCCTTTCTCCTCCTCCTCGCCCCGCCCCACGACCTCGTTTCCCAGTAATTGCTGGGATCCTGATTCTCTGGAGGCATTCCGGGCGGAGGGATTGAGTGTAATTCAAGAGAGTTATGATTACAGCTGCTTGTTCCCCTGTGCCGCAGACTGGTGTGTAGGGAGGGTGGGACTGGCGGGGCACGTGGAGATGGGCAAAATGTCTGGAGAGAGCAGTGGGGCTGTTGTGCGCGTTTTCGCTAGAGGTGAGCTAAGAGCTAGGGGAGGAAACAATCTTAAGCCCACCGCGCTGGGACCCACGGCCTGAGGTCCTCCAGGAAGCACTGGGGCTCAGTTTTCCCTATGTCAGTACGCATGGAGCACACGCAAGAGGAAGGCTGGTGGCTGTGCCGGAACATTCTGAGGGCCTTGTTCTCTGCATACGCTGGGACCTGCAGTCCCATCTCCCATTTGGCCTCAGCCCGCGTGGTTTATTGTACACAAATCCCGCTTGTTTCCTCCTTATGCAGCGGTTTTAAAATTTCGAACTAGTTCAAGAGCTGCTGGCTGCTCGTTTACTTTCAGTTTTGGAAACAGAGGCTTACACCCCTTTCTCCTCCTGTTTCTTCTCCGGTCCCCCTTCCCCTCAATCTAGTTTTCCAAAGTTAGCAAACCTACTTTCTTGATTTTGTTTCTTAACATTTAGAACAACTGGTGAAGGGCTAATGATTTCATCTCCTTACCACCACCCCTAACCTTAAAAGCAATAAATAAAATAAAAGCCCAGCCTGGCAACCGCATGCACACACAGCCAGCGGTGGTGGGGGTTTGTAGTTTGCATACACGTCCTGGGGCAGAAGCACTGAAATGCCTGTTTGCGAAGGCAGAAATGTAGCTAGCAGGGGAACACGGTGAAAAAACAGAATGATTTGATAAAAACGTGCTCGGTCCTGTTACAGGAGGGCTGCTGGTAGTAATCCCAGGTACTAAAATCAGAAGGGGTGCAGGAGAGTAAAATTTAAAAAAGCAAACCCACAGCGAGTCTTTCTTGCTGGGAGTGAGGGGCTCTGCAAAGTTTCTGGGACTTCGGAACAGACATCAACAGGTCCATTGCTCTTCCCGAGACTACTGGGTGATCCAGGGCTCCTCTCTGAACCTCAGTTTCATCGTTGGAAAAAATGGGGATAGGAACATATTTCTGCTGCTGTCAAGACTTTAAACGCTCCAGTGCAGGTGAAGGAAATGTGCTTTGATGAGTGGGTATAAAAAATGTGCAAACAGAACCTGGTGTTACAAGGTGGTGTCAAGGGAGAGGAAGTAACAGTCTGTGTGACCCCCTGTCCCTTGTCGGAGCGCGCACCGCTCCCAAGTCACCCTCTGAGTCTCCAGAGCTACGGAAAAGCCGAAGAGAATAAGCAGGACTGTTTCTCTACTTCCTTCATTGGGCTTCGCAAGAGGCTCTGGGAAGAAGCACTCGTACAAATGGGAATCCCAGTGCCTGGTCACCGGGGAGGAACTTTCCAACATCGCTGAAGGCTTGAGAATAGTGCTTCTGGCTGGTCGCGTTAGTTCCACGGTAGTTCCTAAGCTGCCTTTGTTCCCACTTCTCGGAGCCAGGTTAACTTTTAACATTCTGACAGACTCGGAGAAAAGTAAGGTTTGAATTACGTCAGGAATTTCCACCCTTCAACAAGTATTTTTTGCAGGCCTACTATGTGCTCAGTGCAATGACACTCAATTTTGTAAAGTCTCCTAAACAGATCCTACTTGAGAGGTCTTGGTTATTTACAGATGCAGTTAGAAAAGCGTCCATATTACTTTAAATGGAGTTCAAGAAATGTAAAGCAGAGTTTAATTAGAAAACTAATTCCTTCTTTTAATATGTTGGAAATTTTTTATTGTTAAACATTTTGTAAAGGATTTTTTGAGGGAGTCGTTAGAAAGTCTATAAATACAACTATGCACACTAAAAAGCAGTCTTTTTTTTAAAAAAAGAGGTTTGTTTAATGCATGCTTAGGGTGAATGGATTTACCTAAATCTCTTAATAGCATGCATTTCTGATCTTCCTCAAATTAACTGTAATACCAACTGATACAGCAGAAAAATGTAAGTGACTTGTAGTTGACTTGGCCACCTGCCACACGGGCTCGGTGAAGGTTAATGAGGAACTATTTGGCACTTCGAGAATACTTGGCACTAGACACAGAAATATCAACAGGCCATTTGTATGCTAACTAGGAGCTTCGGTGCCAGGTAACCACTGATGCACTCTTGCAGGAGAAAGAAGGATGTCGCTGTACGCCCCGATAGAGAGGCAGCATTTTTAGGCCCAGTTTGGATTAATTATTGATTGAGTCGCCGAAATACTTGTGATGCTGATAGAGACCAATACTGGTCCTTCTGATCTCTTTCTTGTCGTTTATTACCTTCTCTTACATTCCTCAGAGTGTATCTCTGCTTGTTTCCCAGTCCGTGAGATAAATGGCGACTTCTGTCTCGCAGGCACCGTCATACCTCGGGTTTAAATTCTGGACAGGCGACCCGGCTGCACCGAAGGCCCGGCAGGCGGACTCTGGCGGAGCGCTTCAGGGAGGAGAGTGTAGACCGCGAGAGGCGGAGGGCGCCCAGCCAGCGTGCCTCGGCCAATCAGTGTACACACCGCCTGACAACCGGCCAATCAGAGGACGTAAAGCTCTGGGGCCCGAGCGGATAATACTAGGAAGGGGAGCGCAGTTTGGATACAGAAGCCAGTGGCGCTGCGCTGAGTGCAGCTGCGCTCGCCCGCTCGGTGAGCCCGCGATCTGAGCCAGGCGGGGGCGGCCCGACCTTTCCCGCCCAGCTTGGGTCAGAGGAAGCCGAAAGCGGCCTCAGCAAGGTGAGGCACCCGAGGCTGCAGAAGACCGAGCAGAACTTTGCAGAGTTCGGGATGTGCTGGGCTAGGTCGCTGAGGACTTGACTGGCTTCCTCTCTCCTTCCCTCCACCTTCTCCCTCCCCTCCACCATCCAGTGGGTTCTTTCCGGGCCTCCAGCTATCAGCTCCCGATTTCGTGGTTGAGGGTAGCGACCCCGATTTCTGTTTGCATGCACAGCCAGCAGCCCTAGCACCAGATCCTAAAGCTGGATATCTTTTGACTGGGCTACCAGCCCGGGCCTCAAAGTTTTGGTGAGTGCTGTGATGCCGCTCGGGGTGTCAGGGAGGGCAAAGGGCGTGAATCATCCTTCACCTTTTCTGTTTGACTTGAATGCCTTGCCTTAAAGATATAAACCAAGCCCTAAGTACAGAGAGCCCACACAGCTCAGCCCTGTGGCGCCCCAAGTACTATTAAGGCTGGACGGGCATCTGTAGCTTTGGGCTCTTTGCCCCTATGGGACTCTAATGACAACAAAATTTTGGTTTTCAGTTGATTATTTTGGGGAGGGGGGTGAGAGGACCTCTTCAAGCCCAAGGAGGGGTCCTTGTGGTGGTGTAGGCTGATGAGAGGCATTTGGGAAGCATGGAGTGGTTACTTCAGTGGGTCTGAAGGGCCACTTGTAATGAAAGGAAAACAGTTCTTCCACGGATAGTTTCATATGCATCATGGCTTTACTACTTGAGTGTGGGGAAATCTGACAAGTGGCCTGGGCCGGCCTAGTTGGACACAATATTTTGTGTGTGTGATAAGTGAGTTACCCAGGGACTTGTCCGGAAAGCCTGTGTAAAGCCAGAGAGGGCTACGGTTAAAGGTCAGGTACTCACAGAGCACTTAGAATTAATAAAATAAAACCTTTCTTGGGTTGTAGATCCCTGGGGGCCCTAGAGATACAAGAAAGGCACGTGTGGCCTGGAAGTGAGGGACATGTAATGAGAACAGGATAACTCAAGGGGCCGGAGGCGGGCAGACCAGGAGCTTTGGGCCGGAGGCTCAGGGATGGTCCCTGACGGCCGCCGGTGGGTGTTTGGATTTCTTTGTGTTTCCCCAGAGTGAGGGCCGCCGAGCTCAGGCCCCAGCGAGGCTCCGAGCGCCATGGCCGACCCGCAGGCTGGCTTGGCGGCCGGGGACTGGGAGATCGATGTCGAGAGCCTGGAGCTAGAAGAGGACGGCTGCGGGGCGCAGCGGTCAACGCCCCCAGAGCCCAGCCCGCCGCCGGCCGACGGGGACGGTGAGGACGACGAGGATGACGACGAGGTGGACGAAGACGCGGAAGAAGAGGGCGACGGCGAAGAGGCAGGCGCGTCCCCCGGGATGCCCGGCCAGCCGGAGCAGCAGGGGGGACTGCAGCCGAGGCCGCCGCTTGCGCCTCAGGCCTCACCCGCCGGCACCGGTCCCCCAGAGCGCTGCACTCCTGCGGGCGGCGGCGCGGAGCCGCGCAAGCTGAGCCGCACGCCCAAGTGCGCGCGCTGCCGCAACCACGGCGTGGTGTCCTGCCTGAAGGGCCACAAGCGCTTCTGTCGCTGGCGCGACTGCCAGTGCGCCAACTGCCTGCTGGTGGTGGAGCGACAGCGCGTCATGGCCGCCCAGGTGGCGCTCCGGAGGCAGCAGGCCACCGAGGTGCGTACCTGCCCGGCCCAGGACGCGCCCCCCTGGGGCATCCCAGGCCACAATGGAGGTGGGAGAGTTGGAGGGGAACAGGGCAGCTATCCACACCCCCGCGCCCAGGGCCTTGCGGCGCCTGTCTCTCACTAGGAAGGTTGGTAAGAACGCTTTTCTGCCTACACTGGCAAGTAGGGTCGGGAGGGAGAAAGTAGGCATCTCTGGGGAACTTGGGAAATGTTTTTTCTTAAAAAGCAGGTAGAGAGGCCTTGAAAGTGATTAGGCCCGTTTGGAACATCGTGAGAAAATCAATTTGTTTTTGTTTTTTTACATTTAAAAGTGTATTTTCGTGGTGTTGAGGGAGGGGTTGGGGGGAGAGTGGTTGATCCACAGCGCGGCGTGCAGCTCCAGACTCGTCACTGCTGTACTAGTGATGATGGAGAGAAAGAACCACGCAGCACGCATGCACTCGGTGCTTCCGCGGTCACCTGGACGTTTGAGATATCCAGAACACTCATTTTACAGATGAGACACAAAGTGTATGAGAAATTAGATGCCTGCAACCCAAGGTCATCAATCCGAAGCTACCGTCCCTGCAGACTACCTAAGAGCAAGTGGAGGGTCCCTGCTGCTTCCTATCGGAGGACTCCAGCTGCGAGGAGAGCCAGAGTTTTCTTTCTGAGAGAGGCTCTTGAACCTCGGTTGTTGTATTTGTTTCCATATGCGCCTGGACAGGGAGAGCTCAGCGAACGAGGCTTCACAGGGCCTCCTCCCAGACTCAGGACCAGGGAAGATTTTCAATTTTACTTTTTGGCGGAGAGGAGCTGGGGAGTGGATCGCCAGGCATACTGAAGGTCGCAACCCCACTGGAACGCCTCTCCAGGGCCCGGGAGAGCGCGCTGAACGCCATGGGCACCTGGTCCTGGGCTTGGCCTCCTCCTGCGTCCCGCATGGGTCATCGCCGGCCCTGCGTTCCCACGCGTTCTCTGTAGCATATGCTGGGTAGGGCGCGGGCGTGGGAGGCCTCAGAATCCCACCAGCTGGCGGTGACTGCGGAGGCGAGGGCGGGCGTCTGTAAAGCGCAAATTCGGAGTTCGCAGCTGGACCCAGGAGACCCTTATCTCTTCATTACCCTGTCACTCCATCGTGCCCGCCCTGCCGCAGGGAGAAATCCGCCTGGCCTCACTGCTTAACAGCAGGCCTTGGGCACCTTCTACCCGACAGGTGGGCTCCCAGGACCCAGCCTGGCTGCAACCATCTCTTGAGGTCGGGCGCCCCCCTGAAAGGGATTTCACTTTTTCACTTCCCTCCGGGATGTCCCCTCACTTCTGGCCATAGGTCTGAAGTCTAGAGTGACTGTGCTGGAGAAAGCAGGGGGCCCAGCTCACCAGTGGAGATTCCAGCTCTTTGCCCTAGGATTATTGGGTGCTGATAGTAATTCGTTTGTAATTATTTTTCACACGGAATGGGAAAATTCAATACATTTAGAAGGGGGAGAGTTTCTAGAAGACTTACTGACATCCCGTCCTTCCCCTTCTCGCCCCCGTTTTCTTTCAGGGCATTATTGATGATGTTTCTTGTGTTTACAGGACAAGAAGGGGCTTTCTGGGAAACAGAATAATTTCGAGCGCAAAACTGTATACCAGAGGCAAGTCAGAGCCCCCAGTTTGCTGGCCAAAAGCATTTTAGAAGGTAAAGCAACAAAATTATCCTTCAGCCTTTTAAACCGAGTTGAATGACTCTCATCAATCAGGCACAAAGTGTATTTATTAATCAGTTAAAGTGCTATCTAAAGGGAAAGTACTTTTTATTAGAAAGGTTTTGTTTAGGCGTTCTCTGAGCCCATACACTAAAACTGAACCCATAGGGAGAAGATTAGCATGGTCCCGGAGCCAGAAAGTTTTCTTCTAGGAAGGAAACCGCCACCTGGGAAAATGAATCTCACATACCTGCTGAGGTTTTTGTCACCACCAGTTTAAGAATTCCTATTATTTGGTTGTCTGCTTAGTGGTTAATGGGTTAATGTGGAGTGCATGTGAAATTTACTCCGTGTGAGGGATGTACAAAGATATACTGCCAAGTGACCCTGAAGCAGATGTCTTGGAAGGAAATAAATAACTTAAACAAAGCAAAACAAAACAACACAACCACCTCCACTTTTCTTAGTTGTGGGAGCTGAATAGATGAAGTCAAATGAGGAGTTTCACATCTGCCCGACCAATAAAGACCTTTAGTCTGGGTGTTCAACCTCAGATTCAACTCTTTTTCATTGTACTTTTTTTTTTTTTTTTATTACTTGGCTAATTCCTGTTATTCCAAACTTCATTTTACCATTTTTGACAATCAAGGTTGTAGAATCTGAAAAAGGTTTTGAATCCAGAAAGTGAAGTGGAGGTTGAATGCGAACAGTGCGAAATCTCTAACTTTCTCTCTCCATGTTCTCACTTTCGTGAAAGCCTGGGGATACGTTATTTTTTCTTAAAATATTACTGATTTTTAAAAGCATCTCTATTAGGGTATGGAATTTATTTATTGACCTTTTCAATAATATATTGACTATTTTTAACCGTTTTTCTTTAAATTTTAAAAAATTTAAATAAGGGAAAGTTAATGTTTGCTTTAATCACTGCCACTTCATGAAATTCAGGCTGAAAGTAAACAAAAATTTTTAAGTAGACATTTAGATTCTGCTTTTTTCTTGTGTAGCTTCTGAATTTTGTTGGTTCTGGACAGGTTTTGAAGTTTGTGTGTGTCCTATCATGTGTTGCATACTTCTGACCATAGAGTGGTTTCTTATGAATTAAAAATGAATTTGGTTACAAACTGGATAAACAGATTTATAATAATAGGGCCACATTGATAAACTGAGATTGTGCCAAAGCAACTTGCGAAGTCTGAGGACTAAATGGAATAGTAAATTCAACTGAATAACTTCCTGGCAAAAACTTACCGTAGAAATGGAAACATTAATTTTCAAATTTTATTTTATTTGTAAATGAGTATGGTGGGTTTGTCACTATGTAAACACAAATATAACAATGGATCCTTCAAACAAATTTGGTAGATGTGAGTGCTTGGGGGTGATGAAATACTTCAAGTATTTTATGCCCCCAGGAATTCTATTTATGTTACACTAATCTTTGTTTTTGAGTTTGTTCCTATTCCTGTGATGACTTAGCCTGTGTTCTAATGATTGCTTGTTCAACCGTTTTGGTATCCGGCCAAAATGATGAGAGCTTGGGAAAAATGTTTTAGAACAGTTATTTTCAATAGAGCAGGGAATACTCCCCACCGTTTTTGGGTTTTGTTTTATTTTGCTTTGTTTTTTTTTTTTTGTACTGGTAGTCAGGGAAAGGGGCCTGGTTAAATTTTTCACTGTAGAGTGTGTTTGACTAGTTAACAGCTCTTTTCAATTTTCTATGCTTGTCTATTTTCTTAAGCCTTTTTTTTTCTTTTTCTACTCACGAATCTCCTTTAACTTTCTTTCTTTCTTTCTCTTTTTTCCTAGTTCTCCTTGGATTATTCTACAGCTATTACAGTGTGTACATAATGAACCATCTTTAGAAAATAAAAGTGACATCAGCTCTAGGTATAGATATATTTTTTAATAATGAAAAAAGATGACATAGATAATAATAAAACATTGATTGATACAAGATGAATAGCCTTGTCTCTTAATGCATAGGGGGCCTGCGAAGAATATTAAAATTTTTAATCAATAAAGTATGCCTGTTGAAGCAAGCAAGCAAACAAATCCATAACAACAACAACAGCAACAACAAGAAGTTGCAATATGGATATCTTTCACCCTCCCAGGAAACTATTTTAAACCTAACCTGTATTTTTGCATCCGTATAAAAATATTAGTGAGATAGAACTGAAAATAACTGTTCTGCTGATTTGCAGTGTTGCTGTTACCTTCTGGGTGTCCAGATTTTTCTTCCGTAGATGTTAATCTCTTTCACGTGCAATCTTTGCTTCTTTTAGGCTATCGCCCCATTCCAGCGGAGACTTATGTAGGAGGGACCTTCCCTCTACCTCCCCCAGTTAGTGACAGGATGAGGAAAAGAAGAGCCTTTGCTGATAAAGAGTTGGAGAACATTATGCTGGAGAGAGAATATAAGGAAAGGGAGATGTTGGAAACTTCTCAAGCTGCTGCTCTGTTTCTGCCCAACCGCATAGTGCCTGGACCTGACTATAACTCCTACAAAAGTGCCTACAGCCCCAGCCCAGTGGAACCACAGAGCAAGGACTTCTGTAATTTTTTGCCCACCTGCCTTGATTTAACCATGCAGTATTCAGGGTCTGGGAATATGGAACTAATTTCTTCTAATGTCAGCGTGGCCACGACTTATAGACAGTATCCCGTGTCCTCAAGATTTTTAGTTTGGCCCAAGTGTGGCCCCATTAGCGACACCCTCCTCTACCAGCAATGCCTGCTAAATGCCACCACCTCAGTTCAAGCCCTGAAGCCTGGGGCCAGCTGGGACTTGAAGGGAGCACGAGTCCAGGATGGGCTCAGTGCAGAGCATGACATGATGCCATCGAAATTGGAAGGCTCCCTGGTGCTGCCTCACACTCCTGAGATCCAGACCACGAGAAGTGACCTTCAGGGTCATCAGGCTGTCCCAGAGAGGTCCGCATTCTCCCCACCCCGACGGAATTTCTCTCCTGTTGTTGACATGGACTCCCTGGCAGCTCAAGGGCATGTCTTAACGAAGATCAGCAAAGAAAACACCAGGCACCCTCTGCCACTTAGACATAATCCATTCCACTCATTATTCCAGCAAACGCTTAATGACAAATCGGGTCCTGAGTTGAAAACACCATTTGTCAAAGAGGCCTTTGAAGAGACCCCTAAGAAACACAGAGAGTGTTTAGTTAAGGAGAACCAGAAGTACACATTTACAATAGATAGGTGCGCAAAAGACCTTTTTGTAGCCAAACAAGTTGGAACAAAACTCTCGGTGAATGAACCACTGTCATTTTCTGTTGAGTCTATTCTTAAGAGGCCTTCATCTGCCATCACTCGTGTCTCTCAGTGAAAGGCTGCTTAAACAGAAAGCTGGATTTTCTGCAGTCTTAGGGTGTTCTTGCCACTTGCTACTTTTTTTTAGGTTGTTTGTGTGAAGAAATTTCTAATGTAAAGATGATGATTTTGAAAAGTTTTATATATTCATAATATGCATGTACTTTTTCTTATCACATATATTTAAACTTACAGATGGAAATTGCCCAATGCGCAAATTGTTAAGTACCATGCTTTACACAGCATTTCAAAAAGCAATAAAATTGACACCGTCTTCTAAAAGACCTAGTATTTGCTGAAGCAAATAGTTGTCTCTGTCTAGATGAAGAAGCTATTTTTCTATGATTCTGTATATTTTGAACTACTCTTAATGGTCACTGGGGGCCACAGGAAAACCTTTATAATACTTTAGTTTTGCATTTTGGAGGGCACATAAATTTAATTATTCAAGACTGTTTGAGGCAAAAATAACTTTAAGGAGCATATAGGGCCATTTGCATGTTTACAGTATCTTCATTTCACGTGATTGGACAAAGCTGAATTAATTTGAAGGGAAATCAAGTGTAATGTCTCTTTTACATGATGATTTGGGTTCTTGGAATAGATTTCTTCTGACTCCCTGGGTCCCAGTTTCTTTCCCTGGTGAGGATGTTTATGTGGGGGCCCAAGCTTCCTTTCTAGAAACATTTCTAGTTTCTTTGAACAGTCTATGATTTTAGGTTGCTAGGAGCCACAAATCAGGTTTCCTTGTATGATGTGGTCAGTACTTCCCATGATGGGGCCCAAACCTCCTCGCAGCTCTTGAGTGGTGAGTCCACTGTTTCTGAACCACTGGTGACAGCAGGCATTTGGATGCAGGCCCAGTCACAATTCTCATCATGTCCCCAAGTATCAGCTTTATGCCTCCCACATTTGCACCACTGTCAAAAGCCTTCAGTGCAGCTCTCTTCTGACACAAAACATTTACTATTCAAATTGCTTCAGCTGACAGTTGCTAAAGCTTGCAGATATTTATCACAGCATGAGGGTGGCTTGTTAATTCTTATACCTTTTCTTCCCCCACACCCCCCCTTTTTTTTTGAGACAAGGTCTCACTCCGTTGGCCAGGCTGGAGTGCAGTGGTGTGATCATGGCTCACTCTACGTCCCAGGCTCAAGTGCATGCCTGTAGTCCCAGCTACTCAAGGGGCCCCACCTCCCAGGCTCCACCTCAGCCTCTTGAGTAGCTTGGACTACAGGCATGCACCACCATGCCTGGCCAATTTTTAAATTTATTACTATTTTTGGAATATGTGGAGGGGTAAGTTTTTACAATTTTTGGTAGAAACAGGGTCTCCCTATGCTTCCCAGGCTTGTCTTGAACACCTGGGCTCAAATGATCCTCACGCCTTGGCCTTCCAAAGTGCTGGGATTACAAGTATGAGCCACCTCACCTGTCCTTTCTCCCATTTTTAAGTTCTTGTTAATCTCTTGTTCTACTCAGTAAAATGTTAGCTGTTGTTCCATATAATTGATAAAATAAGAGTAAGACCTTTATGAGAGTACTATGTTCATCTCTGAAGACCTCACCTGTAGACCCCAAGTTAAGTTTTAAGATGTCATAGTCATTCCAATACAAAAAATCCAGAGTCACATATCTTGCTTTTAATACCACCACAGAGGGAGGTTTTACTTCAAACTCTGCTGCTGTCTTCTGGGTAACAAGAACATGAGGTGGGTATGTGGAAGGTGCCAAGTGATTCAGCAGTGTAAAGAGCTTCTTTCTGGCTCTTGAAAACACTTTGCATTACTTAAAAATGCTTTTGCTACTAATGAGCTCATATAAACCTCCAGGGATTCTCTGAATCGTTGCTTAAAATTAGCATCAATTTCAAAAAACAACAAGCCAAACCTTGGATTGACTTTCAGTTTGTACTTGTAAAATAATACTTGTTTTTACTGAGTCAAATTTAGTTATTTTTACTATTGCAAAAGTCAGAGTGAATGGACGTTTGCCAGAGGCAAAGGATATGAAAGCAGGGAGAGATTCCAATAACTTTTAAAGATTATCCTTAAGTGGAAAAAATGTTTTCCAGCCAAGTATGCCCTGATGTCAGAGACAGAATCTAACTCTAGTTTTCCCTCTCAGTCATCTCTACTTTGTCTATAATCACTAATTTTTATCTTTCTATTGGAAATTTATTTTTTTTGTTTCAAGTGTTAAATGTATCCTTAGCATTGAATTAAACTGCTTCAAAGGTAATGAGGGGGAACGTATTAGAATAAAAGCACATAAAAAATCTCAGTGAGAGGCCTTCTTAATCTAAACATGAATTTTATCTCTTACTAGCTAACACTTTTGTGTTTTGAATACATATATTTGTTAAGTTGTTTCTCTTTTGTGTTCAGTGAACACATGGGGACTTCTTTTCGGTCCTCTCTGTGTCATTTTAATCCCATAAGTGAATCCAGTTGGCTGTGGGTACTAGTGGTTTTTCTCACATTACCAGTGACCAGAATTTTATTGTTCTTGAACATTTATGAGGGTCAGTACTTCCCCTGGCAAACTTATTATTATACTATGCTTAGTTCTGCTGTAATAATGAGTTCTTTGAATTTTAAAGCTACCAAATCTACCATCAGTCACTTATTAAGAGCTCTGTGCTTGGCTCTTTGCTTTTGAAAATCATTTCACTTCCATGAAAGTGTCATATAGAATCTTCAGAAAATACTGTCATTGACATTAAATAAAAATTGTGGTTCAATTTAAGCATTTTCTATATTGAAGGCAATAAATGGATACAGTTTTAATAATTTTTGAGAATGTAAAGAATAGTAAAACATGGACATTTTTCTCAATTTAACTCACAATACAATAATACAGCTGTAATGACATATTGTCCTTCCACCTCAACCGATCAAGCGTGATTGTTAGCTGAATTTGCAGTTCTTGAAAGTTTACAACAGTGGTTCTCAAACTAACGGACAACTGAACCACCTGAGAATCCTGATGCTGCTGGGCTTCAGGCCACACTTTGAGTAACAAATGCTTACAGCATTTCTGGTATTTCAATGCACATTTAATATTATCTGCTGTGGATTTTGAGTTGTAATGCAATAATCATAATATTACTAGCATGAATAAGTTAACATACAGAAATAAATTTTTTCTTTCTTTCCTTTCTTTCTCTCTCTCTCTCTCTCTCTTTCTCTCTGTCTTTCTCTCTTTCTTTCTTTCTCTTTTTTTGTTTTTTTTATTTTTATTTTTATTTTTATTTTTATTTTTTTGAGACGGAGTATTGCTCTGTTGCCCAGGCTGGAGTGCAGTGAGGTGATCTCAGCTCACTGCGACCTCTGCCTCCTGGATTCAAGCGATTCTCCTGACTCAGCCTCCCGAGTAGCTGGGATTACAGGTGCCCACCACCACGCCCGGCTAATTTTTGTATTTTTAGTACTGACGGGGTTTCACCATTTTGGTCAGGCTGGTCTCAAACTCCTGACCTCAAGTAATCCAACTGCCTCAGCCTCCCAAAGTGCTGGGATTACTGGCGTGAGCTACCACGCCCGGCTGCCATTTTCCTTTTTACTAAGCCTAGGCCAAGACCTAGGCAAGTCATACAGCAGACAGTGCGTGCTACCCACGGTCTCTTTTTTTTTCTCACAAACCTAGAAGTTGTTTTAATTTGGTTAAAAATATAATATGCATCTTTTATTTTTAATTGTGGGAAAACATAAAATTTGCCATCTTAACTATTTTTATGCGTACAGTTCAGTGGCATTGAGTACATTCACATTGTTGTACAATCATTACCATCATCCATCCACATAACACTTTTCATCATGCAAAACTGAAACTCTGTACCCTCAATAACTCTCTCCCCTCCCAGCTCTTGGCAACCACCATTCTACTTTCTGCTTCTGTGAATTTGACTACTCTAAGTACCTCATAAAGGGCAATCATACAGTATTGTCTTTTTTCAGTTCCTCCTACAAGTAAAATCAGACAGTATATGTCTTTTTGTGACTGGCTTGTTTCACTGAGCATAATGTGCTCAAGGTTCATTGTGTTCTAGCATGTATCAGAATTTTTTTCCTGCTTAAGACTGAATAGTATTCCACTGTGCTTTTGTGTGTATGTGTGTGTGTGTGTGTGTGTGTGTGTGTGTTTAAGCTGCTTCAAAGGTAATGAGGGGAAACCTATTAGAATAAAATGACATAAAAACATCTCAGTGAGAGGCCTTCTTAATGTAAACATGAATTTTATCTCTTACTTGCTCCATTTTTGTATTTTGAATACTAATAGTTGTTAAGATGTTTCTCTTTTGTATTCAATGAACATATGGGGATTTCTTTTCTGTCCTCTCTCTCTCTATAATTTTAATCCCATTAAGTGAATCCAGTTGGCTTATTTCACTTATATTAGGTATTTTCCTTATGTAAGGTACTTTTCCTATCCCAAACTCATCAATTAGGTAAGTTATATACACACACTGTATATATATGTTATATATGTATACACACACTGTATATATTATATATATATTTACACACAGACACACATATGTACAAACACAGTGGAATACTGTGTATATGAGTGTAAATGGTGTATATGTAGACATAGATACACACACATACACGTGTTTATATGTGTATATACACATATACATACATACACATACAGTGCATACACACACACATACATTTTTGTTTATCTAGTCATCTGTCGATAGACACTTGGGTTGAATCCAGCTTTCAGGTATTTTAAATAATACTGCCATGAACAAGGATGTCCAAATATTTCTTTGAAACCCTGTTTTCATCTCTTTTTGGTATATATGCCCCCTTCTCTTCACCCTGTTCTCACTTCCTAGTTTCACCTGCTTCATGTCCTTAGGAACTAAGTTATCTTAGGTATACATTCCTCCCACACTATGCCCTCTCCTGAAGTGTGTGGACCATTTCCACTCAACACTGCTATTGCTCAGAAAGGCTCCGGTATCAGCTGTGTACATTTACATATAAGTTTAAATGAGATCTTCACTTAAAAGCTTAATTCCAATTGTGTAATTAAAGACCGTAAGTTGTATTAAGAAACTTTCTGGAATTCCTTCTGCAAAGCCTCGCAAGTGCTAAACTGTGAGAAAATGGCTGAAGGTCAGGATGAAGAAATAAGAAGAATCCACGCTTCCTTGTAGAATAATAGATAAGACTTAGTGTCGAGGCTGAGTTTTCAACTGGGACTAGAATTCTTACTGGCTCACCTGATTTCATTAATTTTGGATTAATTTTAATATTCCTATTCTAGG